AAAAAAAATGTCTAATATTTACAATAGAAGTATTTAAAAATAATTACCTCAGATGTACAATCTTCGAAACGAATTGCATAGCCAACTTCCTCCCCTAAAGCAGTCCCCATTTCATCTGAAACTCTTTTAGCAACTGACATGGCTGCCACTCTTCGAGGTTGAGTACATCCTATCATACCATATTTACTATAACCTTCCTCATGTAAGTATTGAGTTAGTTGAGTAGTTTTCCCACTACCAGTTTCTCCTGCAAGAGTTTATTTTAAAATAATTTTAGCTGTTTTTCATTAAGTAACTAATTAATACATAAGTAATTGAAAATTTAAATGCCTACCGATAATAATGACTATATTATTTTCCCTTATAACATTTAAAAGCTCTTGTCGAACAGCAAAAACTGGTAAATATTGCCTTTGCTGCAAGATGGATTTTTTTTTAGCAAAATCACTAGTTGCTTCAGATTTGTCTTTCATATGTTGAGCAAATTTATGATCCGTTTTGTAATCTGTTTCATCATTTTCTACATCTTGTTTTTCATCTGGATCCTCAGTTTTTTTTACACCTAAAATGTTTCCTATAGTTGTACCTGCCAATTCCCAATGTTTTTTTTGAGCTTTTCTTCTTTCTTTTTGTTCTCTGTATGCTCTAACTAAAGCTGAACCCTTTCTTGCTACTAAAGCCATGTCAGATGTTGGATCCTAAAACATTTATTTTTTTGTAAACATTGAAAATATTAAACAGTTAAAAAATCTAATTTCGGAAAAATACAATAAAATTTAAGCATAATTAAAAACACTTTTATTCTGACTATCTTACTCGAACTGGAACTACAGGCTCAGGCTGTTTGGTAAAAACTATTCTTCCATCTAAAAAAGGTGGTACTATATTATGGACAAGCAAATGTACTCTAGCTTCACTTTCTTCATCGTAATCTTGATCAAGGTCAATTGACTGAACAACTCCACTGGTTAACATTCTGTTCCTTTCCCATAACTCATTATCTTTATTTATTTGTCTTTGTTGAGCAGATATTCTTTTTTTTTTTCTCTGTTCTAATTGTTCTTCTTTTTTTTCTGTATACTCTTGAGATACATTAGAAAATGGATTATTTTCTTCTGAATATCCTTCATCCATGCCATACCATTCTCTATCCAATCGTCGTTGTTCCTCCTCCCATTCTTCAATTTCTTCTTGGCTTTCTCCCCATTTAAGCTCATTAGCTAAAAACAAATTTTTTTTTTTAATGCTACATATTTAATGAAAATGTGAATTACTATCAGCATGCATACTCACAATTTTCACAAGATGGAGTGGCACCTGTTTTTTTCCTGTCTTTAGCCCAGTTATTATACCTAAAAGCTGGAGTTGGCCTAGTTGAATCATCAAGTCTTCTACTCTTGGTTCTTCTTTCTGATTTGTACAACCTTCTTTCTGACCATTCAGTTTGATTTTTGTCATTTAATGGAGTTGGATAATCCCATGATGACTTTTTCACAGTTTCAGCATCATCTTCATCCCAACTTGTTTTAGATATTGGATTTTTTAATTTATAATTAGGAGTTTGAGGCTCATCTTTAAAGCGAGGACTTTCAGAGGAAAGTCTTGACGATCTGGAAGATCTATCATGCAACCTTCTGGCAGAACGATCTTTATCTCTATAATCCCTGAATTTACGATCTTGATACCTATACTTGGATTCATGTCTATAATTGTTCCTATCCTTTGTTGAAGCATGTAATCTGCGCTCTTTATATTTTTCTGATCTTTCTTCAGCTCTTTTTCTAGCTTCGTAAGAAACACCTCCTGTATATGTAGGAGTTTCTACGATAGATTTTCTATAATTTTTATTTTTATTTTTATTACAATCTTCACTATCCTTAAACTTTTTTACGTTACATGACTCTAATTTTTCTTTTTGACGAATTAACGCAAGTTTATCTAAACCAAGAAGTGATTCTCTGGACGGTTCTTTGAAAGTATCTGAACTTTCATCTGGTTTTTTTTTAATAATCAAACCACCCCGGGATTCATTCATCCCTTCCAAAATGTAAATATTTGAATCCGAATCCTTGCTCATCGTAAAATTTTTATATTTGTTATTAGGAAAAAATATTAAAAGAAAACATATTATAAAAAAAATATTATAAAAATAAAAATATTTAGTCGACTCAAACTAAAATAATACATTCATCAATACATATATATGTGTTTCATTATTTTAATTATTAATAATGAAGTATGTTACTGAAAATCATACTGAA